AAGCTAACACCAAAATGAGCAGTTTATATAATAGATAAAATGCATATGAACGAAATTTTGTTGATGGCTCACAACTGGGACAGCACAGGTACACAAAGGAACAGAACAGTTGGCTCAGTTTTTGGGCTTCAGCAGAAACGATTCGCTGACATTAAGAGGGATATTGTGTGCCTTGGCCTGGGCACGCGAACGCCAAACCTAATTTAACGAAGTAAATCATTAAATGCGATTGTAGATTTTTCATATTTACCTTAATTGTATAATCGTCGCTGGTGGTCACCAACATCTGAGAGTCTTTCGGGTTGAATGCCACACTGTTGACCACATCTGTGTGCTTAAACTTGGCCAAGCTAATTCCGTAATAGCGATCCCATAGATAGGCATGCTGATCCTCAGCACCGCTGGCCACATATTCCTCGCACACATCGAGGAATATGAAAAAGCATTCTGTACTGGGCGTATAAGCTTTGTGCGCACGCAACATATTGCCCACACGCTTCAGTGTCATCAAATCGATCACATGTATATCGATCTCCTGGGCGATTGGCGGCGGCTCTAGCGGATTCGTTATATTATAGTTTTTCGGCCAGGGTCGCGTATTTACATACAAATATCGATGATCGGGACTGAGTGCCATGCCTATAATATGACCGTGCAGATCAATTACTTTGTCTACCTGATCGAATCGGTCCCTAACGGACTCGTAGTCCCACCAATCGGGATCGTTGCGCGGTGCCTGTTGCTGCTGCTGTTCGGCAGCTCGCTTGGCTGCGATGCGCTCTTTCAGGGTCGGCCCGGGATCCAGTTTCTTGGGAAAGAAGACGTTGCGTATGCGCTTGAATCCAATTTGATGGGGCGTAAAGGTTTTCGAGCCAGTCGAAAAGATTAGGTACTTGGGCACACTGTTCTCCATTTCATCGTATTCATCTGGCATTTCCGAGCACGACTCGTACTCCTCCTCCTCATGGTCAGTGTCTAAACCACTGGAAGATGCTGCTCGTCTATACTCCTCCAAATAGTGAATGGTAGCATCTGAAGTGTGTCCAGGACGTGCACGAGATCTGCGCATCTGACTGTGCTCACTTATGTCAGGCAAATAATTATCTTCGGGCGTAGCACTGCGTGTGCGTCGCAAGCTGAACGGATTGCCACTGGCTAGTGAGGAGGAGGCAGATGTGGAGGGCTCATCAATAGACGAAGTAGCAGTAGCAGCAGCCACCTGCTCTGGCTGTGCCAGCGGATCGTTCGTGTCATCCAGCCATGGACACCTGGCCACCATAATGGCGCGCACGGAGCTGGCATTCCGATTGTAGAACTTATACAGCTGACTCATGATTGGCACATGCTCTGAGTCGATCTCCTGATTGGCTTTGTTCAACCACAGCACCGAGGTGCTCACCAAATGTGCAAGCCAATGCAGATCACCCGACAGCAGATACTGATCACTGAACCAGGTGCCGAATATATCGTATGGCCTATTCACGACTCGACAGCGCAAATGAGATTCCGTGGCACCTAAATAGAAGACAGCTATCTCACCAGAAGTGCTCTGTGGCGAGCCGAAATGCACACCCGATACCAAGAGCAAGGTGTCGCTCTGATTGAACTGCGAATATTGGGTATATTTCCAGCTAAATTGCTTCATATTGTGCGCATACTTTTCTATATATATTGGAAAGAGTGTGAGAGGGTGTGCGTCAGTGACCTTCATTTAGCTTACCTCAGCATAATTCAATTGCCTCACCTGTGCATGGATGCTGGGCATTCCATATGATCACATACCCGTCCTTAGAGCAGGTGGCGAACATTTCGCCATTGTGCGCAAAGCTTACATGTAGGACCTGGTGGGTGTGGCCGTGATTGAATTCCACGCTCGGCTCTAGACGCTGGGCCTGCACAAAGGGAATCTCTGTGCTCAGACGTTGGTATTCACTGCGCCAACTGGTGGCGCCGGGCTTAAGCGGTATGCTAGGCGAGGCTCGGAAATGTTGCTGAAACTTCTGGCGCCACAATAAGTCGTCATTCGAAATTGAATTCCAGCGACGGCAGGCTAAACCCGCCTGCATTATATCCTGTACACTGAGGCGCATAAATATCTCCAGCAGAGCTGGTTCGGGCAGTGCCCACCAGCCAAAGTCATTCGCATCATTTTCTTCGTCCGCCTCAACAGCAACAGCAGCAGTAGCAGCTGTGTTTGCACTAGTGCCCAATCGTGCCTTTTTGAAGGTCAGTTCCATTTGATTGTCGAAAAAAAATATTTAGCCGTAGCCTAGATTCGTATAGCTTCCAATTGCTGGGGCTCCCCAATAATAACTGCAGCAGTTAAAACGTAATAACTGCTTTTATATTTGTTGTTATTTTTTACGTTATTTTTGTTGGTTGTTGTTGGTAAATTCGAACTTAACGCTATTGAAATTGAAAATAACTTTCTCCGTTGTTTTTTATTTTTTTTGTGTTTTTGTTTCTTGTTTTTGTTGTTGCAGAGCGAAGAGAAACAGCTGTCAAGAGCAAACGCTCGTCTCTAGGAACAGCTGTCAACCAGCAATGCTCTCATCTCTGAATATGACAGCTGCTTTTGTTTGTTATCGAAATCGAAATATTTAAATCATCATAAACAATAACAACTGTTTGCCAAACAAAATACCAGCAATGTTTCGCTTGCAATGCGTAAGGAGGTGCATAATTCAATTGCGTGTTGTGTTTATTCAAATTATTATAAGAAATATTGTTTTATTTTAGCGTGTTGCATATGGTGCGCAACTATTGCCTGAACTCACAAAAGAACACTGTGGTTATTGCGGCTGCTGTGCGCACGCCCAATTCCTTGGAATGTGGCGATAAAGAAGATCAATTGGCCGGCATGGTGATCGATGAGCTGGTGAAACGCACATCAGCGCCGCGGGATGAATTCAAGAAGCTAATCATTTGCACTTCCAGTGAAATTATGAACAACGATTCATTGAGCAGCGTCGCCAAAGCTCTGGGTCTAAAAAGCTGTCAGGCGCATACCATAAAAAACGCGGCGTGCTCCGTCAGTGGACTGGAAATGTCGCTAGAGTGCTTGCAGCAGGACGAAGCTGGTTGGATCATATTAGGCGATACGCGTGCAAACATCAAACACGAAGAAAAAGATGATATACTACACAGCGAATTGTTGACAACTGCTAACAATTGGTTTAGAAAAGCTCGAGATAAAGTAAAAAAGGAGTCACTATCGACTGTATGTCCAGGCGCTGCTGCTGTTGCCTTAACTACGGCCAAAACGGCAGAGCGCCTGCAACTGCAGCCGTTGGCAATTGTGCGCGAATTCTTCATGGAACAAGACAACGAGCACGCTATCTTCCGCTTGGCCGGTAGTCAGCCAATACAGCTAACGGATGTCCATAGCTGGGAACTGGTTATCAACGAGGAGCTGAAGAAGCAGCTGGGCACGCTAGTGGAGCTGGATGTGAACGAAGTGCGAACGCATGATTCTCGGCAAATAACCGCCAGCCACTTATTGACTCACACAGTTCATGCTCTGCCGGCTGGCAGTCTTAGCTGCGTCATCATGGAAGCCAGCGACGGACGATGTGTGCTAATGGTGCTCGAGAAAATGTAAATATATCTAATTCCATTTCGAAATCCAATTGTGATTGAATGTATATATTTCATTTTTAGCATACCTGCACCCAATCTACCGGAGAGCTTGCCTCAACTAACGCTCTACACAAAGGAACCATGCCCGCTTTGTGATGATCTAGTCAAGAAACTAGAGCAGAACTTTGCGGGCGAATTCGAGCTGAAGAAAGTGTTTATCGATCGCAAAGAGAACGTGCGATATTTGCGACTATTTCGCTATGACATACCCGTGCTATTTCTAAATGGACAATTTCTTTGCATGCACAGCCTCAATGAGCCGGTGCTGCGCGAAAGACTGAACGCCCTGAAGGCCATAGGCGTTAAGCAAAAGAAGAAAGCATAGTATAAAAAGGACGCACGCAGTTGATTATTTATGTTATTGATTCGTATATATATTTTTGATAAATCAAATTGCAAGTGTAACTTAAAAAAGTTCACCCATTGGCTTAATAGTTATTTCGTGTATCTGCAAAAGCTCAATTAATTAATATCGAATGAGAAACCTATGTGCGAATTCACTCACCTGGACGTGCTGAGGTGTTCTTAGTGCATAGAGAACCGCATCGGCTATATTTGAGGGATCTAGTCTAGCCATATCCTTAACATAGAAATGTATTTCCTCGGGAAATATATTCGTATTGACTGCGCCCGGGCAAATCCCCGTCACACGTACTTTGCTCTTGTGCAGCTGAAATTCCTGACGATATGTTTCCGTCAGAGCTGTGATGGCAAACTTTGTGGCTGGATAGATGTTGAACGATGGCAATACATCAATGAAATTTAACACCTGCTGACCCGCAATGCTGTTGATGATCACCACATGTCCTTCTACATCGCGCTTCAGCATGTTGTTGAAGGCTGCCCGCGTACACCAAATAACGCCCATGACATTTGTATTGATGACCTCTTGCAGCTTTTTCGTATTGCCCGGCGCCACAAGCTCCGTTTCGCGAGTTATGCCCGCATTGTTTAAGAGTACATCCGCACCTTCCAGCTCACGTTCGATCCAGTCGAATGTGCTCAGCACCTGCTCCTCCTTGGATATGTCGCAGTATCGTGGTATAAAGTTTTTCTGCAAATCTCTAGGTAAACTCTCCTTAAGCTCCTTCAATTTCGCCTCGCGTCTAGCCAGCCCGACGACACGCAAACCAGCGCCAATCATAGCACGAGCACAGGCAGCTCCAATGCCGCCACTGGCACCGGTAACAACAGCCAGCTTGTTATGCCAACGCTCCATGATGCAATGAAAGCGAATCGCCGATGTTAGCTTTGTGTGTTGCTCATGCTACACTTGGGGAGCTTCATTTGGCTTCTGGCTTCTGTCACTCCCTTGTAGGTTAATCCCTTTAGGGGACTTGTAAAAACACAAATTGACAAAATTGAATGCTAAGTTTCTTTATTTGTTTGGTCTACTTGCATGCTAATAATTTTTCATTACATTCTCAATAATAAAGTATGACTATGGTTTTTTTTTCTAATATTCTATAGTCTCTATAAAGCGTTCTGCTTACAAATGCTCCGATTATATATAACTATATATTTGTGATTACTATTGATAACATATAAATATATACTATAAGTACTTAAACGAATTTTAAATATGTTGCCACGCATATTTGTTCTTAATGATGAACTAACTACATACATATTGTGTACTTATATATTAAGGACATTTTAATTATTTACATTGTATCTTAACACAATTATATGTATATATATTTAACAAGTATTTCAGTCTATGATCGCTTCAATTGTACTTTTTCATATTTGAATAATATTTCGCTTATCTTCTCTCTAGCCTCCAAATTAAGATCCGGATCAAGCTTATCCAAGCATTGGCCAACATATTTGCTATAGTAATACGAACGCGACTCTTCGCTTTTATTAAGTTGACTGACTAGTGGGTTCGTAGGCAATTTATTCACATTCACATTGTTCGGTGCGCTTTGGGGCACAGTATTCTCCGATTCATCTGCCAACTCATTATTTTTCCTGCGTTTTGTTTGCGGTGAGCCTGGTGGCGACTGATGTAGTTCATCCACATTGGCATGCGATTGCTTACAATCATTTTCCTGAGGTTCTTGATTTGAAACTTCCATTTCCGATTCGCCATTGGAATCGGATAAGCTGGTCGTTGTATCGAACACCTACAAATATATGTTCTTATTAGAAGTAGTTACAAATATAAGCTATGTCAATTTAATACCGAATGTTCGTTATTGTTAAACGCATTTACCGCTATTTGAGGCAAGCGCGTGCCAATCAAAAAGCTCATCTTCGAGCTATATTTCCAGCCGCCGCTAATCTCATCGCCATCCGAGGTGCCACCGTTATTTTTTATCTTAACGGACTTCACTTCCGCTTGGAAATATGTACGTAGATTGTTCCATTTCTTGAAACAATCATCTAAAAATAAACAGAATAATATGATTGAATAAATACAAATTCAAATTCAATCTTAAATATTTAACTTCGTTACTTCTTGTAAACGGTGTCCTTGGATTTAGAGCGTTATTTATCTTGTCTGCAGCAAGTTCCCAAAATAATGCTTTCTTATGCTTCTTCTTAAAATCGGGTACAGAACTATTCCAAACATAGGAATTGCTTTTAACCAAATCAATTAAATAGTTGACTTCTCCTTCGCGCCAGTTGACCATTCTTTGCCCTAAAATATTTAAAACAGAATACAGTGTGCTAAAATGTATACATAAAAATTCACTTAAGAATCCCACACAATTAAAATACCGCAAGCAGATGCGTACTCCAATTGGGAAATTTTTTAAATCAAAAAACTTGCGAGTTTTAAATCTAAATTTTTCTGATTATTAGATCTTACCCCGATGAAATCTGAAAAATATTAAATTCTAAATAAGTTTATATTAAAAAGTGAGGGCTTAGCACTGCTTACGGCTTCGGACGATTTTGTGTTTGTTGGTTGTGCTCCCACTGCAATTCCATTTTTTCTACAATATTAATATCAGCCATCTCATTTTGCTCAATTTTCACAAGTCCAATATCAATATTGCCAGCAAGCGGTTGTTTTATATTGTACGACACTTTGTTGTCCTCCATTTCTTCCTAGTCGCAAATTCTCAATTCCTCGTTCAAAGTTTTACAGAACCGAATATATTTACTGCTTAATCTAATATATAACATCAGGAAGCCAGTTCCTGTTGTATTCCTTCTACTCCGTTATCAAGCAAAAATAAAAATAATAGAGACACCAAAGCCATAACTTTCAGTTTTCAATAACTAAAAATTAAATATACAAGGTTCTGGCTACACAAATAATTTTACTTTGACTGCCGGGGATGCCAACTTGTTTGAGTATCATATGAGCAACAGCTGCTGTACTTTAAAATAAATTTTTATACAAATATTTTTATGAATTAATATATAATAATATATTTATATAACCTGAAGTATTGTGGCAAAGTAAATTTAAACAAATAGAGCTAATATTTTAATCATTTAATCGTGTATGTAAATATACACTTTTGCATTTTAGATATATCGTTTTAATATCCTATCGACTTACCACCTCGAATTACTTATCCATCTACAAAACTCCAAAGCTGAACGCAGGTGTTTCAATTTGTGAAGAATTACTGCATAAAACGAAAACTTAACTAAAAACATAACAAAGGCTAAAAACGCAACAACAAAATGGCACAAATGGATTTAGAGTTGAAGAAGGTAAGTTAAATGCAACAAAACAACTGCCGGTAGACAGCGCGTGGTGCACCCAAAAAAAAAATACACTCATTCGTGCCCTAACCCAACCCCAACCCCTTTAATAGGCCTTTACGGAAATGCAAATAAATAAATTGGAAACGACGAAAAAAATAAGCATGATTGACATGAAATGCGACATGGTGAAGACGGGCAAACAAAAGTATTCGCTAACAGAGAAAAGCACCAGCAATCTAACAGATGACACCAGGTGAGTTAGTTCTTAGGGACTTGGTATCTGGGAGCTGAGTATCTAAACTAATATAAAATACAATTCAACAGGGTCTACATGTCGGTGGGTCGCATGTTTCTGTTAACTGATTTGGATAGTATGCGCAATGAGCTGAAAGCCAAGCAGGATAAATGTGATAAAGCCATCGAACTGCTCGAAAAGAAAAAGGAATTTCTGCAAAAGTCACTCAAGGATCAGGAGGACGGACTACGTGAACTGGTGCAGCAGCGCAAGGAAGCGGATGTATTAGCTAAATAAGAAACACAAACACACTCACAGTTTCAATTGTCACAGTCGTCGATCTACCATGTGTTATTTATTTACAATATAATGGTCAAAATTAAAGTTAGCATAACTAACAAATTCATTGCCCAAATTTCGTTCATGTTCCGGTCGAAATTCACATTTGTGCAAAGGCAAACAGGCGAGCAGCCAAGGCTCAACTACTTCACCGGAACAGAAAACCACTTTGGACGCACTGTTGCGCTGTAAACTAAGTATTATCCGTGACATCTTAGTCATGCACTCCTCGGACAGAAATGGTGGATCAGCAATGATTAAATCGTAGCATTTGTGATACTCGACCAAGTAGTCCGCGGAAACTTCATTGAAATCATAATGTACAAAATCAGTTCCATAGGCAGCGAAACGTTGGTCATACTCAAAAATGTTAACTGAAAGAGAAGTTCACGTATACACAATCAGCTATTTATAAAATCCGCCTATCTTTACCTTGTTCATGAACATCCTTTACGGTTGCGTAAAGCGATGGACAGGATAATAAAGCTATGCGAAAATCCGATGCATTATGTTCCTCAACAATTTTAGCTACTGCACCGCCAATATCTTGTTTTGTTTTCTCACTGTACCAAAATTGACTAAGTTGCTGTAAGAATTGACGATTTCAATTTAAGCACACAAAACATTTGCATAATCCCTTTACCCAATCTTCCTCGAAATGTGCATCCTTTCCTGTTTTGTTTATCATGCGCTGCTCCTCCTCATGCTCACGCTGTGTTCGTTCTGCCAGGAACTCATTAAGTATAGCTAATGTATCTGCTGGTAATGTTATGTTATCATTGTCCATAGTTAGATTTATTAAATCTTAAATCCATAAATAATAATAACAAATAAATTTGTTAGCTGTTTAGCAATGTGCTTAAGCAGTATGTACACACTGATAAAGGCAAGAAATTAAATGTACCACTGTATATTTATCGATACGCTTGAGCGTCTGCTTAGTATTTATCGATAGTTCATTTAATCGCAAGTCTATGTCGACACATTTATTTTATTTAATTTAATTTCGTATAGTTAAAGAACGCTGTGCGTTAGCTGCTTTTTGCGGGTAAGTTTGCATTGAGCATTCAACAACAGCTTCTAATTGAGAAATAAGTGAAAAGAGTGCGTCTATCAAGTTTCGTAAGTAATTTTACAACTGCAGTAGCGTTCGCGGTAGTTTCATTAGTGTTTGTGGGAAAGGGGTTCCAAATTAAAAAAAGTGCGCCTGGTGCAATGGTTAATAACCCAATTTTCCCATAATGTACACACGCTGCGGTATATATGGGTTGCTTATTTATTTATGTGCTGCAGAGAATGTGCTGGTCGCTGATCTGCCTGTTTGCATTAGTTTAGCTTTGCTTTGCTTTACCGGCTGTTGCTACGTGTTGCCCACATTAAAAAAAAAAAATAGGAAGTCGCTAATTTGGGGCTTTGTTTTCAACGCCTTTATTTCGGTGTCCATTTGGCAACAAGTGCACTTTGGAATAACTTTTCAGTTCTGCTGTATCATTTGATGCTCATATCAAAGTTTAGAAAGAGTTCAACTAAAGTCAATCAACGCAATAAAATGTCACACACTCATACAGACACACACACGCATTGAAGCGCGCACCTTGTTCCCCAATTCGGCTGTACGTGTGTGTGCTTCAGTGTATGTCACTGACATGTTCCTCGTGGTGCCAACATGTGACGTCATATATTTATGCATATTTACATAGATTTCATCGCATTCCACTTGACTTAACAACCAATTATAATATTGATACCAAATTTCAGTTTTCAATTGACCTCAGTCCCAAAAAGTGCTGCATATTAAATGAATAATTATCTAGCACTTAACTTGACCTAGTTTCCTGCCCCTGTCCATTATTGTATTATTAAGAAAGGACATCGTTTACTAAAATCAATATTTGTACTCGACCCATCAATGTGAATATCAAATTATTGGCCCTTAATGACCAGCTGGTGTCAATAACGTTTCAAACCACCTGCATAATATTATCAATATTGTTGGCATAGCCAAAAAAGGCTAGTTTGTTTTTAGCTAAATGTTCATTGAAAAGTAGCTTGCATTTGTGTGTGTAAGCCTAGTATCAGTAGTATCAGCTGTGCGATCACAACACAAGCTAAAAGAGCTAATTTATATTCTGAATGATGTTTTCCCAGACTAAAGTCGCTTTTGCAAGGTAATTAAATAACTAAATTCAACTTTGCCTTGACAGGCAGTAAACCTTTTGTTATTTTTTGTTTGTTGTTGACTGTGTTGAAAAAAGAAAGTGGGAGAAAGATTAAAAAAAAATAGATACGCTGAAGATATCTTGTAACTATTTTGAGCTCTTAAAGTTAAACATCATTTAGGTATTCAAATTAAAGGGAATTGCTTCTAGTGTTTATTTCAAATATAAAAAATAATAAAATAATAATTTGAATAGATGATGTTTGTTCAAATTTAAGGCAAAACAGACAAAAAAAGCCAAATGAAGTCAACACTGTTCATAATTTCAACATTTTTCCGCCAGTTTTCAGTTACGTTTCCTGCCCACGTTACGCCGTCGCACATTTATATGCACTCTCACTGTGTCAGCTCCTCTAACTCTGCCCTCTATCTCTCTTTCTGCTTTAACGCCCCCTCTCTGAGTGTTGTTCGTCTGCCACCTGTTTAGCCTCTGCTTACACACACACACACATACATGTGTGCGTGAGTTTAGTAATTTCGACGTGTATTTCGTAACAACATGCACGTTGCGGTTACTCTCTTGTCAGTGGTTTGGGGATCGACTCAGTCCGCTTTGTTAGTCGCTGAAGTTTACCTGGTTCGTTCGCTCATATCGTAAACTCGAATAATAGTTTTTTCTTCTTTTTTTTTAAATTTCACTTAAAGATTAATTTAATTGCTGTGCGGCATTAAAGTCATCCATTAAAACGATTTAACTGTTTTCATACGCTATAAGAAATATTCAAATAGAAATTGAAGCAAGGGTTCATATGTATATGTATATATACACACACACACACTATATACTGAAGTCAAGTTACATTTGTTGTTTCAATTGGCATGTTATTGTTGTTACTGTTTTGCCATTCCTGCACACGAGTTGTCTGCCTTTTGCCACAGAGCCAAACACTAACGCCTCTGTGGCAACGCTCAACACGCCTTGGACATTAAGTGTTTATGTGTTTGTGCTTAACTTTCCATTCAACTGGTTTTTTGTTGAATTTTGGCTTTACGACACACAATACTTTTGTCTATGTAATTTCCAATTAAAAGCGCGTACCATTAATACATAAAGCAAAACAATGCCGAAAAATGAAGAACAGTTTAGTTGGATCAGACAAAACTTATATACACTGCAATTAAATTTGATCATTAACTATCTCGGACATTTACTAAACTGTACAGTTAATTATTTTTTAAATAATTGAAAATACTCTGATTTCCTTTTTTTTTTTTTTTTTTTGGATACCTCATTTTTGGACTAGACTAAGCCCGAAAACGGTAATTAAAATTTATAAAGAATACAATTTGTAAAAGAATACAAATTTATAATTTTCTTTTGTTTAACTTATTTTTATAATAGAAAAAAATAGAAATCGGGCTTACTTTCAAGATTTATTATGTCATTCCCATTCCCATGCAAATTCAAAATTCTCTTGCTGCCTGACACATATTTCACCCTATATTTATTGAGCCAACCTCGCAGTATCAACTAAATATTCGCTATTTATCATGACACTGCAATACATGCGATATGTAATGGCGTTTAAATAAAAAATGATAAATACCTACATACATATGTATATAACTCAGCAAAATACTTCAAAAGTCAACTTTCCAATACAATAAATATTATTTATAACTTTTTTGTCATTCATGAACTTCCTGAGTTATACCAATTAATTTGTACTGCAAATACACTTATTATACCTACATATTTATATATGTATCAGTTTTGTGGCCTGGGGCGCACACATAACGTTTATCAGCGCGGCGATTAGCGAGACATTGATAAGCAGCGCACTGTTTGCCTTAATACCGAATGATAAGGTCTGCTTCTAATGGTCTTCATTTAATACTTTTACATTTGCAGACAGAACTCTAGCAAACGGAACAGAACACCACGGAGCAGAACACTTACTACAGGCATAATGAGTGCGACAACCGAGCAACAGAAACAGACGAGCTTTGACAGCGCTCAGGGTGATGGACAGCCCAGTTCGTCAGCCTCATCCTCATCACAGCCACAAGGACAACAGGAGCAACAGCAACCGCAAACATCACAAAATGCACCGGCAAAGCTATTGCAGCATTTTCAAACAAATCGCATCGACTCGGCGCTGTGGGCGCTGCGTCTGCTTGTCATCTTCTTTACCGTTAGCTATGTGTTGCCCATATTCACGTGAGTGTATATGTATATACCCAAAAAAAATCCTATATGTAATTAATGATATCTTGATTATATCTAGTCTTCATGTAACAGAGATTTGCTCTAAGGCATTTAATTTTATGAGGAGCGCATAGAAAGACGATTTATAGCAGAGCGAGGCAATGTAAGATTCAGACATGCAAGGATTAACAGTAATTCAAAGGCGAAATTGAACAAGTGATAGATAAAGATAAAATAGAAGCAAAACTGATTAACTAGATATTAAGTGTTGTAAGAGATATTCGAAAGAGTGGGGGGGTAAATAACCAACAGAATCAACACTCAAAAAGAAAATCATAATATAGAAACGTAGTTGAAACAAGAAATTTAAGCTTAATCTCAGAGTTCTATTCTCCTATATATAGGAAACTCTAGCATAAGCTTAAATCCACTTATATATAACCTTATGTTTTTCTCTAAATACTAATTTTTTACTCTCTCTTATATCTCCATTAACAGCTCACAACAGAGCTCTTTCAACAAGGTTCTGCTAGCAAATGCAGCCATATCGGCGCTGCGTTTGCATCAGCGTGTGCCCGCCTTCTCGTTCAGCCGCGAATTCTTGGCTCGTTTATTTGCCGAAGACTCGTGTCATTATATGATGTACTCGTTGATTTTCTTTAGCATTCGTCCCACTCTGCTGGTGCTCATACCCATTGCGCTCTACTCAGTGCTGCATGCGGCCAGCTACTCGCTCAAATTACTGGATGTGAGTATATATGGTTATATTATGTGAGCATTTCATATATAATGTTTTTGCCTTTCAGCTGATTGGTCAGAATTCTTGGTGGGGCGCACGTTTCATTATCTCAATTGTGGAATTCCAGGCAGCCAATATACTAAAGGCTACCGCATTCTGCGAGATTTTCATTATGCCTTATGCCATTGTGTTAACTTTTATGTGAGTTGATTAATGCATATATTATATGTATATATATATTTGGATCGAACTTTGAGGCAAAAAGCTGCAATCAGTTAATGCATCAGCATTATATTTTTATACAATTTTAATTCAAATTCAATGCGCGTATAATTTGATTCAAAGCTTCATGTATGCGTGTATACATACTTATTTGTATATTTTCTTTTATATTTAGCTAATATCTCTTCTTGTTTTTCTAACAGGGCTCACGCTGGTTTGATGACTCCAATCATCTACTATCATTATCTGGTCATGCGTTATAGCTCGCGCCGTAATCCCTATCCCCGCACTGCCTTTGCCGAGCTACGCATTACCTTTGAGGCGCTGGCAGCTCGTTCCCCACCCGTAATTGGCAAGATCATTCGTGGCGGTATTGGATTCGTCAGTCGCCTGGCTCCACAGCCGCAGCCAGCGCCTGCGCAGTAGAGCCCAGAACATAAATAACAACAATCAAAGAGACAAGCAAACAGCAACAATACATCATAAGCTACCTAAGTCTGCTTTAAACACACACATACAGAGAGATACCCACAGATGCACACACACACACACCCATATACAATTACACACACACACACACACACACTGCTTCAGAGAGTGTAGGTTCCATCCATATTCATTTCGTTTGTTTTTATCTATCTACCAAATTCGCGATGAACAATTTGTTCAATATAAAAATTTATAGTTTATTTTAGACTTTTACATTTTGTCAAAATTTTACAATTTGGCAAAATTATTAACTGTTGTTTTATCTACTTTATTACTATGTTGTTGTAATTATTCATGTGCATCGTATCGTATTATTAACATTAGTTCAAATTTTTAAATATGATTTACGAGTTTGCTTTATATATATATATATATATATATATATATATATATATATATATGTATATAAATATACATATTTTTTAATATTTCTTAAGATATCAAGTGAAGATCAAGCAAGTAGAAAATTCAATAATAATAAAAGAAGGAGAATGTTCACCATTGAAAATTTGGGTTTAATGTGTTAAAATTTATTGAAATATATAATTATGCATTCATAAATTATAGTTTGATAACAGCTGTGTGTGTGTGTGTGTGACTGTGAAGGTGTTAGGAAACTTTTATATAAAATGTTTAGTTAGCATATATATATTCTAAAATTATGAAACCAAGATCTTGGAAAATCTTAAGAGATATTCAATAGAATGTATATTGACTAAAATTGAATTAAAAACAGAATCTAAATCTATGGATAAAGCAGTGCAGTTTTAAAATATCACAAACTTTCGTGTAAGTTGGATAATTATTGTTTTTTGGCTTTAATTTTAAATAAATTATCAAGTTTTTACTTGCTGACTCTGCGTGGAAGATTAAATTTAAAAGGAATATTATTATTTAAAACTATGCCAGAAAGTATGCAACATTTTTTCACATACTTCAAAGATTGGAACCATTTTACCCATTGGAAGGCAATCAACATTTTTAATAAAGCCAATAATTATGTAAGTTGATATATATTTAATATTTTCTTTATGTTTTACATTCGTTTGTTTGACATCAAATTGACAAGACTAGAAGATACCCCTTATAAATAGCTTAACGCTAGACTGAGATTTTTAATACTAAAAAAAAAAAAAAGTATTGGGCATATTGGACAACCTGCTCAAATTATGTAAGCACATAAGCTAAGCCATACTAACAAAAAGTTGCTTAGCTACGACTAATAAACACTCTGTAATGCACTAACATCGAAGGGCTAGGGGAAATTTAATGAATAAATAAATAAAAATGTGGGGAAAACTAATAAAAATTGTGTCACAAGAGCTATGAACGGTATCAGGTATGCCGAGCCAAACTATAAAGACTTGAATAAACTTATTGGATAAATGAAAATTGTGTGGAAAATACTGATGAAAGCGAATAGATACATCAAATCCGTAAAGATGTTGAAAATTTTTGCAGAAAACTTTAAACTGTTTTTCCGTACACATGTGAAGCAATGTGAAATGAAAAAGGAAAAATTGAGTATCAATGAATTTCTTTTTATTGCAAATGGGCGTAGGCTTAGGCGTAGGTTTGCTTTCCTTTCCTTTTTTTGAAGTCTCGTACGTAAATTAACCAATTTGTGTGCATGTGTGCGTATGTGTGTGTGTGTGCTATTTCAACCACCAGCCAGCATATATCTCTAACAAAGTGCGAGAGACATGGGCTCCACTTGCGGGAGCTTCACCAAATGTATTTTGCTTCCGATTTTTTTCCAGCAAGTTCAATGAACTTTCACGAGTGCTTTTCTTGTGCTACGCCAAAAAAACAAATAACGAAAAGAAGAAAAACCAAGAAGTTTTCATGCAGGTTGAGCGGCGGGTGGAGCGGCGCACACACAAGACTCACTTTCGTTTGTGGTGAGTGTGCAGGGAAATTTTCGCTTTATGAGAGTGCAGGGGGGGGGAGGAGTTGGGACAGACTGGTGGTCTGTCTTCAATGTGTCCATTCAAAAAGTGAGACAGGCAATGCTTCCCCTTTTGCCTAGCTCCAGTCTCGGCAGCCCCCCCTCAACTAGTTCATTTAGCTGGCGCTGACGCTTTCATGGGGTTCTTGAACTTTCCCTTTTTGGCCACAGATTCGCAGCGTTTGTTTTTCTTATTCGGCATTTAACGAAAGCAAAGCACACCAATTCGACACCCAAGAATTTTCCAATATAGATTGTATTACGCTGAAATGATTTTTGGTTTTGGTAGTTTGTATTTTGTTGATCGCTTTTCAAGTTTTTGATGTGTTTTCTTTTTGGGAATGTTTTTAAAATTTATTTTTGTATTTCCTTTTCTTATTTGCTTCGTATTGATTTGTGGCTTCCCTTGTCTAATTGATAGATTCTGAAATATTTTCCGTATAATGACCTAATGAGGCTTTTAAAGTTTTATAATTATAAGCAGATGTGAGCTATAAAGAGAAAGGAACTTTGGTAATTAAGCTTTCAAACTTTGCTCAAAAAACATATTTAAAAAAAATAAATGTAAAAAATAATAAAATAAATATGAATGACTCCTTAAATATATAATATATGATAAACAGGAATTGATTAAAATTATTAAATTTAAATAAAAATGACTATTTTTTAAATAAATGTAAAAATGCAGCTTAAAAATATATAATAATGCAAAAATATATAAAAATATATAAAATTTTTAAATATTTTTAAAAATAATAAAACAACATATTTTAAATTCTTGAAAATAAAAAAAAATTTTGTAAGAATAAAAATTTAATTAAACAAGTAAAGACTTAATAATTATATGGGTAAATTACAAAGAAAAAGCAGTAAAATTAGTGATATATATAGTTATGTTAACTTGGTCATTGACAGTCCATAAAAGTCTGATATTCTAACTGCAGAGTTTGGTATGTGATATTGGTAAATATATATTTTTATTTCGTTGAGTTAACTTGGTAAATAGTTTATATATTAAGGATACTGGATACCCTGCAATAATTCCATTATAATGCATTACAATCGCATCAGATCAAATGATATAAAAATGACATTATCAAAGCACATCAAATGAATAAAGTCAGATAATATAATGTGGGTCAAGCTAAGCCATGCAACAGAAATCAAATTGGACAAGTACTTTTTTTTACTATTATCAGAGGAGGAGGTGGATGGAGCAGCAAATGGTGTCTGACAGGCAGTGCCACACCACCGTGGGACCAGCACTACAGTGAGTGCTGATTATGCATTTCCACCCTCAACACAGGCGCCAGAGGCAAACAAGCCTACGAGTGACATCATGACATAAGCTCGCCCCACAACTTGAAAACAGTTGCATTTGTTGTTGAAAAAAGAAAAAAAATTAATAGCAACAACAATAAGAACAACAAAAACTATATAACATAAAATTAAATTAGATACAGAAAGTAAAAGCCTAAGCCCCAAGCCCTCTTTGGGGTTGTCCGTTCCTCGACCGCCGTTCGCCGTTCGTCGTTGGCTCTAGAAGCTCGCGCTCGCAACGCCAGCCAAAAGGTCTTTGAACTCTACGGCCTGTAAATAGGTCATACAAGAAATTTTTGTGTGTGTGCTTCGAGTTCTTCCCAAAATTTTCCCTGGAGTGCCCAATTTTCGTGGTGGGTGGCGTCGCCAGAGCCCGCTCGTGTCTCTTTTCCAAATCAAAATCAATTTCAATTGCGTTGCGTAGTCGCTTGGAGTTTGCGCATTTTCAACAGCTGATTTCAACAGATGAAGCTAACTGCGAGAGTGTGAGCGGGAGCGGTGCGTGTGAGAGCGGCAGAGAGGGGAACATTTCGAGTGCATTTTATGCGCAAGTTTGGATTAGACTAGGCAGTTGAGTAGGGAAATTTTGTTCGTGGATGTGAGTGAGATATGAACAATGAGTAAATGGGATATTTTTGTTGTAAAATGTTTTACAATAATTGAAAATACAAATATTTAAAATATATTATGTATAGTTATGTAATAGTTATATACAATTATTAATTTGTATGTAATTGTTACATAAGGAAAATATAAGTTATTTAAAAACTATAAAGAAGAAAATTTAATAACAATAAAGTTTTGACTAAGATCAGGCGCCTCAAAAAAAGTGTTAGTGTTCTTTCAAATATAATAATACCAATTCAATGCAGTTCCTATTTTAAAATATTAGGTTTATTTCTTTGGAGATTACTAAATCTAAAACTTTTTAAATTTTGGTGACTACTTAGATTCTAGAAAGAATTATTTTTGCAAATTTTTGCATATTCCTTGATTAAAAGTTAGCGTTTTCTCTTTGTATTAATTAAACGTTAAAATGTATAATCCTACTACTACTAAATATAAATATTACAAAAATCTCTTCTTCATAAATAAATAATATAAAAAAGTAACACCCAATTTACAAAATTAGTATTCCTAAAATCATTTAATATACTGTAACATTACTCAACGCATAAAGCCTTAAACTAAAATCACTCAGCTGCAAGAGAAGAATTACCCACAAAAATAAACCGACAGTCAAGGCATTAGTAATTTCCCTCAAAAACTAAACGCCAAAAAAATTTCCCTACGCACGCGACTTACACTCAAATGCGTTGCACTCAAATGAGATAAAACGCTCAACGTTAATTTCCCAGAGATTGGACATTTTGTGGGATGACATAACCGAACATTTTTGTTGCTTTTCGGCTTAAGCGTATGAGCAAGAGAGCGAGCGTATGTATGTGTGAGTGTGTGTGTATGCGTTTGTGCGTGCCGTCGTCTGTTTGTTATACACAAGTGCAGCTCTCTGTGTGGGCCAGTGACCTCAAGTACCGGTATCCATAGTATTAGATAAGTTCGTGGGCATGTACGGGGCATTTTCGTGTTCCTCTTTGCTCTTGTGTTTGTTTTTTCTTCTGTACTGTGCTATGCTCTTTATTGATTTCAGTATTTCTACCCGCAGCTCCGCTTCTTTTGTAGCTCAACTATAATTTTGGACGGTGTGGGGTACGGGGGCGTACACAACAATAATTTGTTGGGGCGATCGTGTTTTGGGGAAGCTTTTTACATGCCATATTATGGATGTGGGATCACATTAATTTTTGGAGGCGGACGAGTGGAGCATTGTTGTGATTGGGCGAAGTAATTCACTTAGATATCATTCTCGAAATGTTTATTTACGTCAATTGATCCAAAAGTACGCGTTGAAGTTTGGAGTAATTTGAGTTTGTTTGGAGCAAAGCAGAGGAAATGAAGGGTAATTTATGGAGTTGTGTTAAATGAGATAAACTTGGCAGAGGAGAATCGAGGTCTGTTTATGCTGGATATAAGAAATTGATAATGTTAGAAGTATAACATGAAGGCATTTCATTTGACAAGCAACTAAAAATTAGTTGTTTAGAACATTGTTAGAGGGCATATATAATGAAAAGAGAATTTTGTGGTATGTGTTAAAGAATCTTTTAAATTAAAAAATTTTAAAATAAAGAATTATGTTCAATATTTAACAGCAGGTGAAGCTAGTTAATAATTACTAAAAATGGGAAACATAGGCTATGTCACAATCATCTAACAATGAGTAATTTAAAAGTCTAGTCTATTAGACTGATTTGATGATTTTCATGGATGATAATATATATTGCACTTGACTTATAGTTTAATTAAAGTCATTGGACTTGGTTATACAACTTTGGATCGAAATAGAGCTATATAACTCAAAAGCCATTACTTAAACTAAAAATAAGCAGACACTTCGAGTGAAATAGGAGATAATGATA